GTGTGAGATCTTTGATGTGTGACAAGAACTGATTGTTGTGTAAAACATTTCCCACACTCAGGACAGGAATATGGCTTCTACCCATGTGACATCTTTTATGCCTATTAAGAAGGGATTTAGAATGGAAACATTTTACGCACTCAGTACAGGAGAAGCTCTTCCCTGTTGAAAAGACAGCCCGGTCCCGCACAGTCTGAGGTTCCTCAGGATACGAGGAATCCGATGGTCCATCTACACTGGGTGGTGCCGGATGGACATTAGAGTGAGCTGGGTTTTCTCCTGGACTATACTGTGTGATGTCCTCATCTTCTACTTTCCAGTCTGGAGACAAAGTGAGACAATCCTCGGAGGTTTTCCTCATCTCCCGGCCATGGACTAAAATACAAAGACAAAGAGGATTACTAGACAGGAGCTGATTGGTTCCCCCAAACCAGGACTTGGCGTCATGCTGGTGCCAAGTCTCCTCCCCCCAGGGTCACTGCAGGTGTGGAGAAAAGCTGTGTACGAGGATATGGAGGAAAGATGAGGAGGAGATCCAGGAATCAGGAGAAAGGTCAGGGCAAGCAACAGACGAGCGCATCCAAGAGACCAAGCCGGGGTCACTACACAGAAAATCAATCCAAGGAAACAACAGGCAGGACGAGGAATAGCAAGAAGGAGCTGAGAGACAAATGAGAATATTGCTCAGCCAATGGGAGATGATCTCAGCATGACTTCCATCATGAAGGAGATGAGGGGGAGGGGAGGAAGTCACTGAAGGTGACCATAGATCCATGGAAATTCAGCTGGTTCAGCAGGGATCGCTCACATTGCATTTCCTCTGAGCTCCACAAGGTGGTGATCTCACTTATACCCAAAATGGAAGTCTCTATGGAAGACAGGAAGTGATGTCAGGTACAGACAGATATAGAGAGGAAGTTCCATGTGGTAGGAAGTAGAGAGAAGGCATTGGTGGAAGTGGCAGCAGAGGAGGTGATAAGATGTTATTTTCTATTTACACCCAGTAACCCCCCGTCATGTCCATCCTTAGTCACTGTGAGTTATCAATCATGGTGAGTAGTCACTGGAAATGGATCATGTTGGTGGTCAGCATGTGTTTTTTTCATTGGGCATTGTTCATTATTATCCGCTTCCATACTGGGCACTTTTACCCCCTTCCTGCCCAGGCCAATTTTTTGGGTTTCAGCGCTCTCACACTTTGAATGACAATTGCGCGGTCATACAACATTGTACACAATCTAAAATTTTATCGTTTTCTTCACACAGCTAGAGCTTTCTTTTGGTGGTATTTAATCACTGCTGGGGTTTTTATTTTTTGCTAAATTAACAAAAGACCAAACATTTTGAAAAAAAACACGTTTTTCTTTGTTTCTGTTATAAAAGTTTTGCAAATAAATAATTGTTCTTCATAAATTTAGGCCGAGATGTATTCTGCTACATGTCTTTGGTGAAAATAACCCAAATTAGGATGTATTATTTAGTCTGTAATGAAGTTATAGAGTTCACAAACTATGGTATATATATGAATATTGATCAATCATGAAGTACTGACAGCCAATCTAATTTCTTGAGATCCAAGAATGTGAGAACAGTACAGATATCCCCCAAATGTCAGGACGGTACAGATATCCCCCAAATGTCAGGACGGTACAGATATCCCCCAAATGTCAGGACGGTACAGATATCCCCCAAATGTCAGGACGGGACAGATATCCCCCAAATGTCAGGACGGGACAGATATCCCCCCCAAATGTCAGGACGGTACAGATATCCCCCAAATGTCAGGACGGGACAGATATCCCCCAAATGTCAGGACGGTACAGATATCCCCCAAATGTCAGGACGGTACAGATATCCCCCCAAATGTCAGGACGGGACAGATATCCCCCAAATGTCAGGACGGGACAGATATCCCCCCAATGTCAGGACGGGACAGATATCCCCCCAAATGTCAGGACGGGACAGATATCCCCCAAATGTCAGGACGGGACAGATATCCCCCAAATGTCAGGACGGGACAGATATCCCCCAAATGTCAGGACGGGACAGATATCCCCCAAATGTCAGGACGGGACAGATATCCCCCCAAAATGTCAGGACACAGATATCCCCCCAAATGTCAGGACGGGACAGATATCCCCCCAAATGTCAGGACGGGACAGATATCCCCCCAAATGTCAGGACGGCACAGATATCCCCCCAAATGTCAGGACGGGACAGATATCCCCCCAAATGTCAGGACGGGACAGATATCCCCCCAAATGTCAGGACGGGACACATATCCCCCAAATGTCAGGATGGGACAGTTATCCCCCAAATGTCAGGACGGGACACATATCCTGCAAGTCAGGGATACTGACTGGTAACCGTATGAAAAAAAAATAGATTTTTTTTATTACATTTTTCTCTCTATTTTTAAGATGTTTTTTTCATATTTCACTATGAGCAAACTGGTATAATGTTACCATAGTAATATTGTACTACTTTGGGGAAGTGGTCAATATTTTTTTTTTTTTTTTTACACAATTTTCTTATAGCAAAGAATTTCTTTTGCTATACGCAAGCATTTACCTAACTGAAATCGATTCATTCAGGGTTTTGTTTAATGCTTAACTGTGATTTTGGGCTGTGATTGGCCCAGTTTGTGCATGTGATCGCTGTGACCATTCACAGCTAGACACACTTGTTTACAATGGATGGTATGAAAGGAAGCCATGCATTGTATAAAACTGTCATGTGACCTGCAGTGATTGGTCACAGCAGGTCACATGGTACTGACAATGGGTCCTGTACACAGATCTGTCATCAGCCATGTCTGAGGTACATGGCTGATGACAGATCACGCTGCATGGCTTTGTGGCCAGGCAAACTGCATGTCTGAAAGGATGCCATATGGCGTCCACCCGGAGGTATGTGCTGCTCACCAGGCTGCCTTTGTGCTATTGGCTGGATGGCAACTGGTTAATGATGTATATCTGCATTGTTGGATGATTGACGAGGGATTTACTGTAAAGTAAATGTAAGAGCAGAATCATTGTATCAGTAGGTGAGATGTGAGGTGATCAGTAGAAATATGTAATTGTCAATCTTGTCTCATTCCATGTTATTACAGATCAGTGTTCAGTATTCACTCACAGATATACAGTTGTGTTCAAAATACTAGCAGTCAGACATCACTAACCGGATCAATCACTGTTTTTGGTGGAAATGATATTTCCTACATGGCAAATAATTTCCTAGCAGGTGTAGTAGAGTCATAGAAATCCAACAGACCCAACAGTCATGACATGCATGCTGCTGATTCTGTGTCATTGAATCACTCATTGAAAGGGGCGTGTTCAAAATAATAGCAGTGTGGAGTTCTATTAGTGAGGTCATTCATTCTTTGACAAAACAGGTGGCAATTATTGCCCTTATTTAAGGAAGGAAGGCAGCAAATGTTGGACATGCTGGTTACAGTGCATTTCTCTCTGAAATTCTGAGGAAAATGGGTCGTTCCAGACATTGTTCAGAAGAACAGCGTACCTTGATTAAAAAGTTGATTGGAGAGGGGAAAACATATAAAGAAGTGCAGAAAATGATCGGCTGCTCAGCTAAAATGATGGCAAATGCTTTAAAATGGCAACAAACTGAAAGACGTGGAAGAAAGCGAAAAACTACCATTGGAATGGATAGAAGAATAGCCAAAATGGGGCGGACTCAGCCAACAAAAGAAGGTGTGACTCCAGGAAGATCAAGGAAGATGAAAGAAGGTGTGACGTTCCCTGTGAGGACTGTTACAATTAAAGACGCCTATGTGAAGCCAAGCTATCTGCAAGAAGTCCCCGCAAAGTCCCACTGTTGGAAAAAAGACGTGTGCTGAAGAGGTTACAATCTGCCAAAGAGCACTTTGACTGGCCTAAAGAGAAATGGCGCAACATTTTGTGGACTGATGAAAGTAAGATTGTTCTTTTTGGGTCTAGTGGGCGGAGACAGTTTGTCAGACGACCCCCAAACACTGAATTCAAGCCACAGTACACTGTGAAGACCGTGAAGCATGGTGGTGCAAGCATCATGATATGGGGATGTTTCTCATACTACGGTGTTGGGCCTATTTATCGCATACCAGGGATCATGGATCAGTTTGAATCCATCAGAATACTTGAAGAGGTCATGCTGCCTTATGACTGAAGAGGAAATGCCCTTGAAATGGGTGTTCCAACAAGTGGCCATCTTGCAGCCAATCCCCGGATCTTCATCCAATAGAAAACTTGGAGTGGCCAGCCCAATCCCCGGATCTTCATCAATAGAAAACTTGTGGGGTGACATCAAAAATGCCGTTTCTGGGGCCAAACCAAGAAATAGAGAAGAACTGTGGAATGTGGTCCAATCATCCTGGGCTGGAATACCTGATCACAGGGGCCAGAAGTTGGGTGACTCCATGCAACACAGATGTACAGCAGTTCTCAGAAACAGTGCGACTACAACCAAATATTCATGAAGTCATTCAAAGGAAAGCAAAATCTTCAAACATTTCTCAGTTTATATAGTGAATGTTTGAGTTTGTAAAGAAGAATACAAACACTGCGATTTTTTTTGAACCGTCTAATATTCACTTTTCTTCCATTTTTTTTAGAGGAACAACACAAATTTGATGTATTTTTCTTCATGTTGTGATTTGGAATAGAATGTGTCGTGTTCCCAATGCATTTGTGTGGATGGAAATAAAAGCTATTAGAAGGATTTTGAGCTTTATTCACTTTTTTTCAACACACGCTATTTATTTTGAACATAACTGTATATTCACCAATCAGCATCTGGAAGGACAGAGTAGCTTCTAGGCTAGCGGTGTCACCTGGATGCCAATGGAGCTTTGCTATCTAAGTAGACAAGCAGTTCTCACCTTGAATTCTAAAAGAAGAGCTCTAGCCATTTTGGCTAGAAACAGCAGTGGACCAGGAGAAGGTTCTGAAATGTCTGCCAGCTTTGATTTACATCCACAGATAAGAGGAATCTGTTTCATCTCTCATAAAAGCTAAAATATTAGTTGCACAGAAATGGAAATACTTCCTTCTGATTGGACACACTGTAGGCTCCATCTACATGTAAAACTGTATTTGTAGCCTCTGTAGAATCCCAGAGAAACGCACAAAATGGTTATATGGTGCCTGATTGAGCTGAACAGTGATTGGTACTGTCGCAATTGGACTGATGCGCTGGTGTTGGAAATTCTATCCCTGACTCAGTGATCCAAACTGTTCCTGGTCCATTCAAGATTGGGCACTTAAAACACAGAACGTCCTGTGGGCTGGTACAGGAACACCCTGAGGGTTGATTGGCCAAGGGTTAAAGTCCCACCCACCATCCGTTTTTCAATAAATTGAGTACCCTGAGATACGGACAGTGTGATTTGTACGGAGCCGGTTCTATTTGGCTGGCGAATCGCGGACTTTCATTGACTTGCTCCAATCGCAGGATAAATCTTGGCAAAAGTTTTATTTCTGTTTTTATTCTCTTTTAGTTTATAGTGAATAGCCAATTGTGTGTATTTTTGTATTCTTGGTAACTTTTTTTTCTTTGTACATATTTTATGCCCTGCCCATTTTCAGGATATTAAGTCATACAATTAATAAGTGACTTCTGTGTACTAAGCTTGAGCTCATATCTGTATTGTAGTGTCTATGTGCTCGGTCTAAGTTCATTGCCAATCTGTATGCAATTGTACTGTGTGTGTTGGCAGATTGAATGCAGATTGTAAAGTAGCAGATCTGCCGGACAGAGATCTGTGTGTGTGTGTGTGTGTGGCCCAGCAGACCAGTCTGTGGACAAACTGTTGGGTCATGGCAAGCTACTGTGTGTTGTTGTCAGGAATGGACTCGCCAATGGTGGTGGGACTCACCTGCCTTGTGGGCTGCAGTACCAAGGCTGGCCAGCGGGTGCTCCCAGCAGCCAGAATCTCACTCCTGCAATCAGGCCATCACCTGAGGCTGATTGCAGGAGGTGTATTTAAGCAGGACCAGGCCTGTGATCAGTGCCTTGGTGTATGTTTCCCATGAGCCCCTGTACCTGCATCCTGTCTGCTTCCTGCCTGATCCTGCTTTGATCCTGACTCTGAACCTGACTCTGCCTGTCCTGACCTCGGCTATTCCTGACCACTCTTCCACTCGCTCCTGGTACCCTGTTTGCCCGTTAGCTACCGACCCGGCCCGCCTGACTGACTACGTTGTTCTCCATATATATATATATGTGTGTATATATATATATCAGTTTAGGTTTGGGTTTGTTTCACCTTGTTGTATGTATTTGTGTTAGTTTTGGGTTTGGTTTGTTGCACTGCGTTTATGTTTGTGTTGTCCTTAATAAATTATCTTGTTTACACGCTATACCTGAAGTCTGTGTTTCCCTGTGTCGGTCCACACACCTCTGGTCATTCCCGGAGCCCTGACAGTTGTGTGTCTGGTGTGGGGGTGTGTATACAGTAGGAACAGTGATTAACACTGGGGTTCTATCTTGTAGGATAGCTGGAGGAATCCTAGAGGAGTGTGCTAATTGCTAGACTGCTCCCCCACCCTTAGAGTGCACCAGATTGTATGTAAGATTCATATCTGTCTGTGTGTGATCAGCCAGCTAGATTGGAGTGGAGACTCCCTCTAGTGGTGGCCAGAGGTAGTGCGGGCTGTGAAAGTGTATCAGTCTTTTATATGCTCAAAGTAAGTCCCCCTCACTCCCTCTTTACCCCAGTCACGGACCACGCTTTGGTTAGTCACCATGGGCGTGCCTTATCCGTGACATTTACATTGGGGAAATCTTTTTTTATTAATAAAGGACTAGTCATGTGGTGTGGACAACGTCTTTTTTTTTTTTTTTTTTTTTTTTTTTTTTTTTTTTTTTTTTTTTTTTTTACTATTTACAATATTTCTTTCTGAATGAGTAACCCGGGGTA